AGGAAGCTTTGCAATTCTCTGGTTTCTTGAGATTTTATGGAGATGGTGTAGTAGAAGGAAAGAGAGATATGGGGCGGAGTTGTTTTAAATAGCTAGTGTAGTAAATAAATACAAGTATTTCTTCTCTTTAGATTGTAGACTTGTCTACGTGCACCACACCTCGCGTGCACTCACTTGCCTCTACTACGAGTAGTCTAGTACTAGTATTTTTTCATTTCATTGTTTCCAAATTTTCGGATATCCCGAAGAGACTACTGCTACTCGCATCTAAACAAGCTTTTTTTTTTTTTTTTTTCTTTTCTCTTTATTTAAGGTGTTAAGAAAAAAGATAAAATTATACTCACTCTGTTTCAATTTAAATGAGGTAGTTTGATTCGGCACGCAATTTGAGAAAAAAAGATTTTTGAAACTTGTGATCTTAAAAGCTTAAGGGGTAAAAGCTTTGTGGGGTCATGATATTTGTGTGATTATAAAAATTTCTCATTAAGGGTAAAATGAAGAGTTTAAAGTTAATTATTTTTAAATTTAAAAATGTGTCATTTATTTTAGAACAAACTAAAAAGGAAAGTACCTCCTCTAATTTCAAACGGAGGGAGTAATGTTATTTGAGAATTCAGAGTGTTAGGTAAAATTTAAGAAGTTGTTTGGTACAATGGTAGGATATCCTATAGGGTGAGATATCTCATGGTATTAGTTATCTCACCTTCTAAATGGGATAATTAATCTCACTATTTTAGTGTAAAAGTTATCCCAGGCTGGGTTGAGTTTGGTCTTCGCGATCGCGTAGGTAGTTCCGCGAACACGATGCGTATACTTGGGCATACCACTTAGGTACTCTATTTCGAGAGTTTTGGTTATTTTATCATAATTTGAGTTAGAGAACTCGGATTTAGGCATTCTTTAGGGGATATCCGAAGGGACTACTCGGTACTCGCATCTAAAAATGAAAATTTGTTTTTTTCTTTCTCTTTATTTAAGGTATTAAGAAAAAAGATAAAATTATATTGTTATGTGAGAATTCAGAGTATTAATTAGGTAAAACTTAAAAGTATTCTAAAAGTCAATTCTCATTCAATCCTTGATTATACTATTACTCCTAAAATAACTTTTATTATGTCAATTCAATAGATATAATATTGATTGACGAAACACACTGCAAAGTTAAAGATAGACTAAAAGCTGGGAGATGTTTCTAATTGAGAGGAATCAAAAGCTTAAGAAAAAAATATTTTGTTCTCTTCTCTTTGTGTTTGCACAGGAGCGTTAAAAGGAGTTTGATTCCTAAGGTTCGTCCAATTCAAAATGTTAGTTAACTGGGACTAAGTTAGTAGTACTATTTTTCTTTTTTTGGTGCAATAGTAGTACTATTTTTCAATTGAAGAAATTGGGAAATAATCACTTTTTTACATCGTAAATTAAAAATTAGCTACTATGTCTAAATTAATTAATATTTAGCTACTTTTTAATGAGTTGTAAAAAGATATTCCTAAATGTTATAAAACAATAAAAGAAGAAGGAGAGTATTGCAGAGAAAAGTAGAGAGATGATTCATATATATTTTAGGATGAATTACAATGGAATAGTGAAAAAGTGACTTAGCCACAAAGTAACAAGCTCAAAAATCTCTCTAAAAGATAGACACACCATAAATAAAATACTATTTATAACACTCCCCCTTGAATGTCTATCAACAGATAATGTGGCTCATTAAAACCTTAACCAAAATAAAACCAGTGGGATTTAGTGAACGAAAAAGAGTACATATGTTTAGAAATACGCCTTATGGTTGCCTCGTTAAAAGTTTTTCAAGGAAAACCCAATTGGACAAAATCTTGTAAGAAAAAAAGAGTACAACGCGTAATAACTCCCTCTGATGAGAGCAATTCACATCTTTAAGCCTTCGCATCCCGATCTTGTACACTAGCTTCTTGAAGGTTGACGCCGGTAGAGATTTAGTGAACAAATCATCCATATTATCACTTGAACGAATCTGTTTCATATTGATACCACCATTCTTTTGAAAATCATGTGTGAAAACTTTGGTGAAATGTATTTTGTCCTATCTGCTTTGATGAATCATCCCTTCAATTGGACTATGCATGCTGCATTGTCTTCAAACAAAATTGTGGGTAGTTTGTCACACTTCAAACCATATTAAGAAGTATTATAGACCTCGACCACACACATCTCGACTTGCTTCATGAATAGCAATTATCTCAGAGTGATTAAATGAAGTAGCCACAATTGATTGCTTGGTCGATCGCCATGATATGGTAGTGCCTCCACATGTAAACACATAGCCTATTTGAGATCGAGCTTTGTGTAGGTCAGATAAATACCCAGCATCGACATAACCAATAAGATCGGGACTGCAATTATTTTCATAAAATAAGCCCATACCGGTTGTCTTTTTTAGATACCACAATATGTGTTTGATTCCATTTAGCAGAGCTATATCTTGCTAAGAGATTAACTGAAAAAGTTATGGCGTGTGATTTTCTAGATCACTTTCCTGCTTATTATGATCACTTGGATAATTTTCTCATCTTTTTTATCAAGAATTTTATTTGAAACCAGTTTGTCTATACTCTTTAAACGTATCATAGACTTTATCCTTCCAGGACTTATTCTAATAGGATCATTTGCATTGAGAATATAGTTACTTTCTTTGGTCAGCAAATGCGTCTGGCATGCTTTGAAACGTAGTGCAGATGAATTATCTTTTTATGAACTTCAAGTTCATATTATATTTGACGATCTAGAGGTACAAATGATAATTTATTTCACGTAACTTTTTTCAATTGTTTATCCTGTCTCCCCCATATGTTAGAAAAACTAACTTACTTCCTCAACTTTGGATACCCATCTTTATGCGTTATAGTGTTAATCAGAATATACGCTACGCATCAATAATAATAATAAAATGGAATTATTTGGTTTCTGACCTGAACCACTTGTGAGGGAGAATATAATATACTTTTGTATATAACATATACTCCCTTCTTTCCAATTTATGTGGACCTGTTTAACTGGGCTCAGTGTTAAAGAAAAAATAAAGACTTTTAAAATTTGTGGTCCTAAACAAGTCAGAAAGGGGTCCACAGTATTTGTGTTGTTATAAAAGTTTCTCATTAAGGGTAGAATGGGAAGTTTAAGCTAAATTATTTTCAAATTTAGAAAGGGGTCATTCTTTTTGGAACAGACCAAAAAGGAAATAGGTTCACATAAACTAGAACGGAGGGAGTATCAAACTAATAAAGATAACTTTGTTCTCATAAGAAATAGTTTAGCTATTAAGTGGAGGCACTCAATAAATTTATTTGCTAAGCCAATTTTTATGTAAGCCAACTTATCAAGATGAACTGTCTTGAATAAAAAATATAAAACTTATGCTCGAAATTAAATTATTGAGCAAGTTACCTCGCAAATACCAGGTTGCAGGTTAATAGTAATCGCACATGTAACCATCTCATAGATGCATCTTATATGGGATACACGGCAGGTGAATGTGCCCATATTCACCTTTGATATTTCCACCATTCATGGGATTCAATCCTAATTTTAGTGTCACGACCCCAATTTCCCTCCGTAGGATGTCGCGATGACACCTAGTCACTAAAACTAGGTAAGCCTAACACTTACTGAATTAAAAGACAGAATTTAATCAGAAAACAACTATTAAGCATAAAACTGAAATTTCAATAGTAAACCAATAATCCTGAGTGCAATACAATACGCAAAACTGGTGGTACAAGTCATAAGCTTTACTGAGTTTACTAAAAAAATCTTCTAAGTGCAACTGTTCCGGAATAAAAATCGACCGTACAAGTACAATATCAGAAGGTGACTCTGAGGACTGCGAATGCGATGGCAGGTATACTTTGAGTCTCCACAACAATGCTTGATACTAGCTAGTGATCAACCAACTCCGAAGTACCTGGATCTGTACAAAAATATACAAAAAGCATAGCATGAGTACACCATAGTGGTGCCTAGTAAGTATCGAGACTAACCTCGGTAGAGTAGTGACGAGGGACAGTCAAGACACCTACTAGACTAAGCAACCTGTACAAGTATGAATGTGAACGAACAGGAAACAATGTTAATATAAAGCTAAGCGTGGTAAAGATAACCAAACAATACTCGCAATAGAACACTAGAACAACAATTAGCAACATGGAACAAACATGTAATAATGTCGTGGAGTAAGCTAAACACATTTCTAGTCCGGTGAGACCAAGTAAATAAAACAAGTAACAACTCAATAAGAGCAGCCGCTTTCCCACAAGATTTGTTCAAGGATTTCCCCGAGGTACTTCACCTCATAGTCACATTTCACCGGCCTCAATTCATGAAACCTAATCACTTGGCATCTTGTGCCCACATTACTATTCATAACCACACGGACGACTCACGTGCCAAGGGAGTGACAATATCTCATATCTGCACGGACAATTCACGTGCCAACAATAACAATGACCTATGACCGCACGCGCAGCTCATGTACCAATAGAACAACTCTCATATAGAAGGCAAGTAAACAAGAGTACATGTAAATGGTTCATAACATCTAGATTCATCTTCTTAACCTGACCTGGGCGATTAATTACGTGTATGTTTGTGCAATTGTTCTCTCACAACTCAAGTCAACAAGTACAAGTAGAGATAACGAATGACACATAGGAAATAAACACCACGAAACGTACAATGTATAACTCACACAAGGTAGACACAACACTACACAAATATCGTCAATAACAATTCCCTCAGGCCATCACAAATCATTCGCCGACATAGCCCACCTTGTCTCGCCACGTGCACAATAATAAAGTAAATGCCCGCCTTGTCTCGACGCACAGCATAATAATATTCCCACCTTGTCTCGCCACATGCGCAAACCCACATATATAGCCCGCTTCGTCACACGGCATGTGAAAATATCA